ACTTCTACTTACTCTCCTCTCCATCAGTGTATCTGCAAATTTCTAATTGACCACTTTCAAGCATTTCAAGAATCAAAATTGTTTTTTTAACTACTTTCATTGCAATTTTGCATATATTATTATGACTTCATTCTTTTGGGATCTTATGTTGTTGAACATTCACCATAAATAATAAGCCTGAAAACAAAATTAATTAAAAACTTTAGTAATGAAATTTCCATTTAAATTATTTTTTAAAGAAATAACTTATACTATTTAATTATGAAATTGTTGAAAACAGATGATTACTACAGGACACACTGTACTTACTTGGAACAGTTTGGAATTTTCTTTATAGATATATTTCATATAAAGATATAAAAATGAAAATGCAGCTAAAAGAGTTAGTATATCATTTTATGTTTTCAAAGGCTGTTTTAATGAAAAAAAAACAATCAATACATTACAAAACTCTATCATCATTTATACAAATCTTTTTTTAACCATGTAAAATTTGTCATCCATATCAAATATATTATTGAGATGTATAGTTTAATAATGTCATCTAAAAAATTAAAAATATATATATAAATATGTTTAGTGAAAATGCAAAACAATATTTCACATAAATATAACAGCCTGTTATGTTAGAGAATTTTTCATAAGATGTCATACTTATGCAAATAAAAATGTGATAAATGTATTTGGATGGAAAGATTGAAATACAAAATAAATGCAGGATGATATTAAACAGTTAATTTTTCCAAAATAATTATCAATTGTGTTTAATAAAATAGATGAATCTTTTAAAGTAGAAATGTCATATCTCATAGTTTAAGCTATCATAAAGACAATACCATTCTATAGAAGCCAACTTTATCCTAGATTATTTATTATATTTGTTCTTATGATATTATTTGAAGACAGAATTCAAAAACTATTGATGCAATATCTTATTGATTTCTATAAATAACAGTGTTTAGAGAGATTTCATAGAAGTTATTTATAACATAGATTTTAAATAAGTTTTATTTAAAAAGTTGATTCTTCTTACCAATGTTCAAAATGCTTTATTTGGAACAAGATTTGCAAAAGTAAAATAAGTCAAATTTTTTGAGTTGTAAAGACTTATCCTTAAAAACTTAATTTTTTGAATTATACAAAAGACTTTCAAATATCATGAGATTTCATTTTAAGTCATGAACATCTTAAATTTTGTGTAATTAGAACAAAATTTTGCTGTTTAAACTAATGGGAAATGCCATAGTTGCATTCTGCATGTGTGAATTTAACCTTACACACTGTAGATAGTAGTATATTCCATCATTCAATAAGTAGTTTAAAATAACATTTAACATGGATAAGATATGTAACATTAAGAACAAACAAGAAAGGTTTTTTTAAAAAGGGATTAATTTGTGGAAGGTTCTCAAAAACACAAGCAAGATATAAACTGGGAAGAAGGAAAAACTATTGGGTTGTTTGGAAAGTAAGTTTGTTTTTTCCGGTGGAAAAAAAATGATATTTTTATAATAAATAAATATTTTATTGAATTATGTATCAACCATTTTGGTCAAATACCTGTCATCATCGTTTCTGGTAGTAGCATGATTTCACATTCATAAAAGTTTTGATCGTTGCTTACAAAAAGCTGATCCAAGTGATTTTTGACATTGTCATTTCAAGTAAATGTCTTACAGTTAAAAAAAAATTTGTATAGACTGGAACAAGTAATAATCTGAGTGTGCTCAATCTGGCGAATATGGTTGGTGTGATAGCATGTCCCATCTAAGTTATAACAGCTTCTGACAAGTTACCAAACTTGTGAAACTTGTGTGAAATTTGGCATTATCGTGGTAAAACACTACACCTGTTTTGTTGATCAATTCTGGCTGCCTTTTCTGTTTGATGATATTACTCAATTTGTTTACACAATGGCAGTACACTTTTGAAGCAATTGTTAAATTGTCTGGTAAAAGCTCCAAAAATAATTTCCTTAAAATCCCACCAAAGAGAGCATCTTTCTTTAAGAACATGTGGAACCCATATATCAAGCTTTGAAACGAAACCAATTTGTTTCAAGTAATCATAAATGGTTCAATTTGACAAATTTAATCTCTTAGTGATTTCATGTGTTGTTATTTGGCAGTTTGCTTCAATCAGTACCTTTATTTTGTTTTCATTGGCTTCAATTGGCCATCCAGAACGTGGTGCATCTTCAATATTGAAATTGCCAGAACGAAATTTTATAAACCAGTTTTGGCAGTGTCTTTCTCTCAACACATCTTCTCTATACACGTCACACAATTTTTTTCTCGCTTGAACAGCACTCTCACCTTTTCAGTAATAAAAGAGCAAAATATGCCAAAATTGCTGCTTTCGATCTTCCATATTTGATGGGACACAAAAAATAAAAAATTGCACAAATTCACACAAAATTTTTTACAAATAAGCCTTAAACTGCTAGCTGTCAAAATATATAATGATAATATGGTTTAGAATGAAAATGGCAGAAAAAATACAACTAATCCGTCTAGTAGTAAAAAAACAAACTTACTTTCCGAACAACCTAATAGTAGTTGGAAATGAAAAACTGATTTGAGCAGGATAAAAAAAGAATTGTTAGATTTAAACTGATCTAAAGCTAAATTAAGATTTGTGTGATTTCTTTTTACAAAACAAAACTTTTAATATAAATATCGACTTTCCAAAACCCAATGTATTAATACAAAGCATAATTACTGTAATTAATTGGGCTATGAATATGCTATAATTAATAATTAGAAACTAAGTAATTTGCTACAAGAGGTAGACGTTAGGTACCATCTCTTATCTAAACTAATGGTTATATCTAAATTTAAATACATCAGGGGCCATATTCTGGTCACTGTCTCTGGTCTCTTGTCTCTCACAAGCCAGTCACTGATTGGCTAATCATTTGGCTTAGCCACTCAGCGACCGGCTTGTGAGAGACGAGAGACCAGAGATAGTGACCAGAATACGGCTCCTGGAAGCAAGGCTTGCTTGGGGTCCGGATGGCGTAACTGGCAAGCACATCACACAGTAAGCAGAGGCTGTGGGTTTGAGCCACACCCTGGGCTAGTTCTGTTCTTCCAGATGGTTTTAAATTATTTAATAAATTATAAATAAAAGTTGGTATAGAAAAATAATCAATGGCAGCATGGGTCTTCTCTGAAGCTGGCACATCAAGAGAATAGTTAAAGAATTTAACAGAGTTCATTGCAAAAACTTTTCAAACAGTTATTTTGTAAATGTGTTGTTTGTAAACATTAATGTTAACAGCTAACGAATTAACTGTACAGTGCACGTAATTTTGAATCATGAATATTTCAAACAACATATTCTGATTTTTTATTAAGTTATTTTAAAATTATGTATTCAAACATGTAATTTGAGAGCCCTTACTTGAAATGCAGACTTTCAATGAATAACTGAAATGCTATCACTTCTCTGAGAATTTTCATAATAAACCAATTTTTTACAAAGAATATAAAATAATATGACTATAAATGAATCCAAAAATAATAAATTTAAGAATTTCAAAATATAAAATTATTATTATAATAATTGCATATGTAATGTGAATTAAGAAATAAAACTCTGACATCAATTTTATACAATGTGATGTGTAATTTTTTTGTTTCTGAATATCAAATAGTATAACTAATGTTAGAAAGATTAAAAGATAAATGTGAAATAAATTATACTATGTTAAAATAACGTCCTTTCTAAAATACATCTAAATAAATGGATTAATGTTTCAGCATATTCTAAGATCAAATTTTTTTTAGAGACTTGAACACAATTTGGAAGATTATTCCACACAATATTTGGAAGCAGTTTTGTGAAAAAAATTCTAGTTACAAAAATTTTGTTTTTGTAGTTAATGTCCATTAAGAAGTTTCTCTCCAAATAATATTACTAGTGTTTTTTCTAACTTTTCATACTAAGACAAAATTGTTATTTTCTGATTTTTACTCAATTATTAGTAAGGTTTTAATAAAATGGAGAAATGATAAAATTTCTTGTCTTGTAAATCTGAAATAAATTATCCAATTGATTCTCCAATGAAACAGCAACAATTATTGATTGTGACAAAATTATTTGAAGAAAATGTGAAGTTATCTCATCTTACAAATACAGATGGCATTAAATATTCCCAAATAGCTCCAAAATCAATTTCTACATGGAATTAAATCAAATGAATGAAATCATATCAACAAAGATTTAGTAAATTTTTAAGTAATAAAGTGATGTAACAAGTTTGACAATGCTTTATATGAATGAACCAACAACATGGTTTTAAATCTATTGCTTCTAATCTGTTTATATAATACAAGGTCAATAACATCCTACTTGTATAGATTTATGACAGTAAGCCTCTTCTGACAAATTATCCAAAAATACTTAACCAGAATGCATTTCAGTTGTTAAAGGCCATTAAAAGGCCAAAATACATTCTGGTTAATAATTTGTCAATAAATTTCCAGAAGAGGCTGTGTGATAAACCTATACAGTAAGATCAAGTTGATACGTTCACAAGATTATTTCCTACAAAAAGTATTTGACATATTATAAAATAGAGATCCTTCAAATATTTCATTACAATCTCTGAATTATCTCTGTTCAGATACATTGAATAGAACTTTATATAGAATTCTTATGCATGTATCTGCTTATATGTACTGTACATAATATATACACAAGAGTTTGCATATTTTCTGATCATCATAATGCTAAGAAAACATTTTAAGAAATAACTGTTTGAAAAATTTTAAAGTCTATGTCAAATCTAAAAATTGTTCTCTAAGAATTAATTAAAAACAATTTCATTTTTTATTGACATGTTTATACTTGATTAAAAACATACAAAATAAAAAATTAAAATGTAAATTAATGCATTATATTAATGAAATTCAAACAATTTGAAGGTTTTGATATATTCAAATTACTTGAATTTCATTAATATAATAGAAAATACCAATTTGTGTCCTTCTCAAAACAATTACTCTCCACTTTAGATGAATTCTCATACAAAAACTTTTACAAGATATTCATGCTAACAACTTTTTTCAACATAAAGTGTTTGTGTGTGAATTTTGTCATAATAATAAAGTAAACAATAGCAAATGCTGCTTTTAAATTTTTTATTACATGCTCACTTATAACAGCGATCTTTTCAAAATTCACAGTAGCAATTATATTTTTAAATGTATAGACAAATCTATAATTGCAGTTTATGAAAATACTTTGTTCTAACAAAAGACATCTTGCTTCAATATAAAATAAAATCACAAAAATCAGTATTTTCTAAATATTAGGTTTCAAAAACATTTATATAATTGTCATTCCATATTATAACTATTTGTTGTAATTTTTAAACAACAAAAACTTTAGTTTTAATTTCAACAATCTTTTATTTGATATAAAACTAGATTATCTGCATTTCAATTCTGTGGTGATGATTCCATGTAGAAATACAATTTACTGAATTTTTTTAAAGAAACTCAAATCACAAACAGGCTTCAAATAAACAGAAGCACAATACATATATATATATATTTTTTTTTATCTGCCACAGGCAAAAATTTGTTGTTATTTTATACAAATCCAGATATATTCTGGTCATTACAAGCACTTTCTACACATTTATATTATTTGGCATTATTTTTGTATCTTCATAAATCATATTTTCAGTAAGTGGAATGAATGCAACAATAAAATTTGATGTTCCTGATAATAAATTAAGAGAGGAAATAAACAGTCCTTCTCTTTATAAATATTAAACAATCAAAACTTTACAATAAAACTGATCAAACGAAACATCAAGCTTAATCAGAACGTGGGATCAAATTATTCTTTTCTGGCTGCATCCATTCTTCTACCATGAGAGTGACTAATTTTCCTAAGTCTTCTTTAAGCTCCTCCCAATCACTGTTATAAAAATAATGTGAAACTATATATCTATATTCTCTGGGGGACACATTAAATTGTATGGCATTACCATATACATATCTATGAAACCATTTATAAGAATTTTACCTGCGAGATGGTTCTGCACATAATTCTGTATAATATTTAATCTTTGGTTCAGTTCCACTGGTGCGCAAGGTGGCTACACATCCATTTGTGAAGTAAAATGTAATCATGTGACTAGATTTACTAGTTGGTAAAATCTGTAATTGAATTTTCATTTATTTATTAATAATCTTAAAATTCTTATTTTAGTTAATTAATATAAGTTAAACATGGTTAATACTTATAAAAGTTGATTCTCAAATTAAAAAATAGCAACATATATAAAGATCATAATTCTCATTTTATGATGAAAAATAATTTATGCAAATGTAGATTAACAATAATGATTAATAATCAATATTTGATGTTAATAGTTNAATATAAGTTAAACATGGTTAATACTTATAAAAGTTGATTCTCAAATTAAAAAATAGCAACATATATAAAGATCATAATTCTCATTTTATGATGAAAAATAATTTATGCAAATGTAGATTAACAATAATGATTAATAATCAATATTTGATGTTAATAGTTATTAACATTTCACAAAACACACACACACACTTTCCAAATACTGCATTTCAAAACACACTGTTTCTTATGTTAAATTTGAAATTAAATCACAAGGTAATGTCAATTTTTTTTTGTAAATAATTTCACATATCTTTTGTCTTTGCAAAATCAAAGTAAACCTAATTTTTTAAAATAATTTTGTCATTGTTTTATTGGAAGACAATAAAATATAAACATTCACAAAATCTTGAGTATTTGCAAACTTTTTGGTTTATCACTGGAAAAAATTTTAGAATGTTAATTTCATGGAAACTTGTTTGAACATTGTCTTGCTAATGCTTCTAATATCCTCTTGATGAATAAAAATGCTTAAAAGTACTCAAGATTTTGTGAATACAGTAGAGCCTCGAAAACTCGGCACTCGATAACCCGGCACTCTGGATAACTCGGCCACACCCTGGCAGGGCAGAAAAATCCTTAGTTAATTAATTTTCATTATAGACAGCTTTATAAAAGTATAAAAGCTCTCATAAAGTATTATTCTGAGGTCTGTCTTATCGGGTAAATTACTGTACACAGTGTATTCATTAATTTTCATTTTCATGTAGTAAAGGCTTTATGCCTTCATAAAGGATGTACTTTTCCTTTGTTTAAGGGTATTTGGGCAGTTTATTCTCTGTTGTATTCTCAAGTAAACAATACATACAAGTAGAGTACAGTATTTTCTGAGGAAACACTCATACTTATTTTTTTTAACCCCATTCCCGATAACCCGGCATTTTCACAAACTCAGCCACCCTTCGGTCCACATTAGGCCGAGTTTTCGAGGCTCTACTGTATTTTATTTTTTAATATCCTCCAATAAAGCAATGAAATTTGTATAAAATCTACAGTCAAAAATATGGTAGATGTTATTCTGCATGGAAAATTTTCATTAAGTACAGTGAATATCAAAAATTTTGTTATAAATCTTTAGTACAGTCAATACTGAGCTGTGTACTCAATTAAGCAAGTAGTAGTAACAAAAACTTATATCATTGGAAACGTTACACTTGTTTTAACATTGCTACATATGCCAGCTTTACAAACATTTTAACTTCATTTACAAATGAAGCTAACCTCACTACTACTGAATGCTACTCATTGTCAGTTTTTCCTATTTGAGACTATTGAAGATTAGCATCACATTTCTCACACACATATATCATCTATCAGTTGGAAAAGTATTAAAGTCATGATTTGAGAGTTTTCTTGACATGCTCAATTGAAATTTTCAAATTGTGTGATATTTTTGGTGTAATAATTTCTGATAATTTGTGAAGCCTTAGAAGCTTCTTATGCACTTTCCATAATCATTATGTAAAAAGTATTGAATTTTAATTAAAGTAAAACTTACTGCCTTGTTATCTGGTTGAGTATTATCATAACCTGTGGTTAAATCTCTTATCCCCTGAATTTTATACTGCTGTAGATTTGTTGGATACTAAAAACAAAAAAATTTCATTATTAATTCTGAAATTCTTTTGCTTTCTTAAAGTGTAATCTTAAAGAAATAAATTGAATTAAATAGCTTAAAAAATATTAGATTTAAAGAAAACAGACTACTTTATTTACAGTTATTTAAGTCAACATATAAGAACTATAATCTAATAAAAAGTGTTAAAATTCCTTGTGGGAAAAAAATATTAAATTTACCGAGTCAGGGCCATTGAAGTTTCTCAATCGATCAAACATTGCATTTATCACAAGTTGATCATGGCAAATATAATAGGAATTGTTGCTAACATGGTAACCATATCTAAAAATAAAAAACATAAAATATGATAAAGGTTGTATTTTATCTTTTAAAATAATAATTAATTTAGTTAAAATTTCCAGTTAAAGTAGGCTTGCTTCTATTTACCAGCTGTTCTAGTTCTAAAATGTTTACAAATTCTGTTTGAAAATTCCAAATTTAATAAGTAGAGTGGAATAAATGACCATTAAATAAATTTTTGTTTTTCAAGAAACCAAGAAAATTCAATATTACATAAAAATACAATTACCTATATAGTAAACAATAATAGAACATATGCCTTTGCCATCCTTTGCCATTACTAATAAATCTGAAAATGTTTATGTCAGAATAAAAATTGTATTTCTAATTTTTCTGATAACCAATTCAAAATAGATTTACATGTCACAATTTTCATTTGAGGTACAGACAGTACATGATACATATAATTTATGGTGGCAGCCATCTATACTTCTGTAGTCAGTGCTTGTAAATCTTGCTCCACTAGCACCACAGCAGCTGACAAAGCAGAAATAGCTTAACTGTCTTTTTATACTGTGGCTTTCAGCAGCTTTACTAGGAAACATGCCTTTTATATTTATTATAAATTTCAATATCTCTAGAAGATAGTAAGTATATTCCACATCTTCATGTTTCTACTTTGCAAGAAACAAACAAGATTTTATATTTTATTCAAGGTAAATTTAAGCATCTAACAAGGAAGTTAACAAAAAATGTTGAATTACCAGAAAATTAATTTTTGCATCTTTGTATTTTTCAACTTTCAATATAAAAATTTATTAACTTTTTATTTGTCAATTTGTAAATAAACAAATTGCAACTTAATTTTAATGGAAATGTTGAAAAAATTATTAAAAGATTCAAGAAGAGAAATCTTTCAAAAACAAATTATTTTTTGATTAAGATGTTTAAAATTCTATAAAAAGTGATGAAAGATAGTTGTTAATAAACTATTATTTAAAAATATAAAAGAGATGAGTTATGAAAATTTTTAATTAGTTTTTAATAAAATTTAAAACCACTTACTGTTTATAAATATTTTCAAGTTCATTAGTTAATGTTAGACCTCTGGCATTCAAATGTGCACAAAGTTGGGCAATAGCCATTGCTGCTCCTACACCATCTTTGTCTAAGACTGTGGTACCACACATGAATCCTGAATATAAATAATTTTTAAATAATTATCATTAAAATAGCTTAATTTATGTAACAAGGTAATCAAAAACAAAAACATTCAATCATACCAATAGCTTCTTCAAATGCAAACAACACTGTTTTTCCATTTGCCATTAATTCACATGCTTTATTTGCCATCCACTTAAATCCAGTTAGTGTTTCCTAAAATTAATTTATAACATTTATTGTACAAACTTGTGTGTAGAATGAATATAATGTAATATACAGATTATATTTTTTTTACCTTGAGACATTGAAATAACTTAATTGGATCTCATTATTTTGGAAAAAGGTATACAAAAGTTGTAGGGTGTCGAGGGACAAATCAATTGGTGACCTCAGATTTGTCCTTGACCTTCAAGGTCATTTGGAGATCAAGTCTGTCTTTTTCAATGGGAACACACATCTTTGACCCCGGAAATGGAAAAAGTGGGAAATTTCACAACCAGATGTACCTTTGGTCTTATTGTCTAGGTCCAAGGTCAAGATTATTTTAAGGTTAAAATTATAAGCTTTTTCTAATGGGAAACTATACTTTTTATTACTGGAAGAGGCAGGGAGGTAAAAGTTATATTTTTCATAACCTTATTACTTTGAACTTTAAAAGCATTCACTACTTTTAGCACTACAGAGGAGTAACGATGTGGATGTAGTAGTTTTCTGCGCCCTTTGAGGTGCTTATTTTCAGTGAGTCTCTTTGCCTCACTATCGTGGTACTTGTTTTCGGTGAGTCACTTTAATTCTTACCATTGTTTGAGATGTTGGTTTTGGGGGAAAATTTTATAACAAATGTTCAAAATGATGCTCTTCCACTTTAATGTATTTATTGAGCCTCATTTACAATTATCACACTTGAGATGACCTTCAAGGTCAAATTTGGGGTACTCAAGATCATGGATGATTGTGAAATTTCCTGTTGTTTCCATGTAAATGTAACTTTTACCTTTAAGATCAATAAGATCAAAGGTACATCCGGTTGTGAAATTTCCTGCTCTTTCCATTTCCAGGGTCAAAAATGTGTGTTCCCATTGAAAAAAACAGACATGACCTCCAAATGATTTTGAAGGTCAAGGTCACATCTGAGGTCACCAATTGATTGGCCCCTTGACACACTACAACTTTTGTCTATACCTTTTTCCAAAATAATGAGTTCCAATTAAGTTATTTCAATGTTTCAAGATAAAAAATACACACTGTATAATTTTACAAATTTTTAAATAAAATATAAATTAATTGGAAAATTAAGAATCTTAAATTTCAACTTTGTAATTCTAATATTTTAACTTTGAAAAAGTTATATTTCAAAACACAACATGTATAGAAAGAAATACAGGTATCCCTCAAAGTTTGAAAATTGGGAATATCCCCTATACAACACAACTTCCAGTTTTGCTTTAATATAGTTTTGGAAATCCTCTGTACAAAATTTCACAATTACACAATTTTTAAGTGTAAACTTTGTTATTCACTATTTTTTTGATTAAGTAAGTAAGTGTGTTGTCAAATTTGTCTACAAATTTTAGAATATTGAAATTTTAAATTTGTTTTGTGCCTTTCATCAGGTTTAGCTTAATGAAAACTGACAGTAGAAGTTTTTCTTCCCTGTCCTAGTTTTCCTATGAACCAGGTGTCGTCATCATTACTTTCAGACTTTAGCCTCTAAGGCTGTCACTGTATTTTGTTTTTATATATTAATCGTCATATTTAGTAAAGTTTATTTAAACTTTACTAAATATATTTAAATATTTTTAGGTAAGTATTTAGGTAAATATTTAAACTTTTTTTAATGATAAGTAATCATTCATAAAAATGATGAATGAAATATAGTATCATCTCAAAATTCAAACTGAACAAATGCTACCTGCTAGAACAAATTATCGATTAATAACATTTTTATTTTGTCATCCATAGAAAATTATGATAAAAATAAAAGAATGAAGATGCTGCTGATATTTCTCATCAAGATTAACAAAAAAAACCTCAAAATATGATATTACTTTGAAAAAAGAAAACACCCTCATTTAACTAAAATTAATATTAACAGTACTTTTTATTGTGCTTTTATTGTTAGTTAATTAATTATTGATTGAAAATAAAGTAATGATTGCTTTAATAAACATATTTCTCTTAGTAATGAAAAAGAATAGTATACTTTTGTTAACTTCTGGAATGTAACCCTCCATTTTGCATTAGTCCTTTGTTTTGTATAGCACAAATTCATATAACATGCCACTTTTTCAGAATGTATCTACTGTGTTATATGATGAATACCTGTAACTGCTTTTAATTAAAGTACAAGGGAAAAAACAAATGAAGTTAAATGATATTGATTTTAATGAAGAACCTATTAAAATCAATATCACGAGAAATTAATACAACTGAAAATTTATGGATTTTTTTAAGAGGAGTGTAAAAATACTATGACAAAAGATGCTATGTCATTCCCAAATGCATTAAAATGACTCACTTTCAACATATGTTAAATTTTTCACATAATTTTGTAGTTATTTAATTGATGATTCATTTTAATTTCTCTATAATAGACTTCTATAACACAATATTCATTTAATGATAATTTATAAACTTCAATATATTTACATATTATCCCCCTGTACTCATTGCAACATCTCTGGTCAAACTATTCTTTCTCAATAAGCCTGAAGATGATGAATTAACCAAAAGCATTTGAATTATTGAAAATGTAATAAACCTAGTTTATGACAAACCAATTAACTGGTTTTGAAGAGAGAATGAAATCAGTATCATTCTTATGGTATTGTGTTCACTTGCCATTTTTGACTTTTAGTTGGCAGTATGCTTACATCTAAAATGATTACACAACTGATATACTACCAGGAAATTTCAATTTAACATTAAAATTTGTACACAACTAAGGATTGCAATTGCTGGATCCCTCATCCAGCAATCCAGCTGGATCCAGCGTATTCTTCGGCCTGCTGGATCCAGCACTGCAGATCCGCAAATACTCAATTAACCTTCTAAATAATGGCGAAAAGTCTACGTTGTCGGTGTTGCCGCGTTTCTACGTGTGCTATCGCTCGGCGGCGAGGGCGACGTTGCCGTTCAATGTGGCACATGCTACACCCCGTCTCTACACCACACTGCCTGCCCTTTTACCTCTGCTGATCTAATTGCCAGTTGACTTTTCACTCTCGCTAAATAAAGTGTCTACGCACTAAATAAAATAAGTAACTCCTCTCTTAGTCCTGGTGCATAATTCTAATTTATGGTCGGTTCTGACGTCAATGAATCATGTGACGGAACGATCTCAGTTTAAGCCTATGGAGAGCTGCAGCCTTGCGGCTTGTCCACAAAACCTAACCTATAAACTGGCCGTAAAAGCTCTCTGTAGAAGAGAGTCGAGTTTGATAACTGCTGACACAACCCTGAAATTTATCTTATACAAACTAAAAAGCCAGGACACAAGCCAGGACGCAAAAGAATCAGAGAACGGCGTCTTATCGAGGTCACAGGGATGCTGATTTACATACAGAACCCGAAAAACTATAACCAAAAAGTTAGAAAGCACGATTATTCTTTCACAATACCAAAAAAAAAAAACGTAATGCGCCAGGAGATAAAAAATATGCTGAATCAAGTAAATACATATGTAGTGGAACAAGCAGCAATGGCTGAGGATATTATGGAAATGGAAAACGATGATCCAGATAACCCGCATTCATTCCCTGAATTTCACATTGGAATAAGAATCGGAGATCCAACTAGAGCGTGAGAAAGAAAACTTCATGAAACGAAAAGAAACTAGTACTGAGAAGGATTATGATAAGTTATTAAAAAAGGAAATGGCTGTTTATGAACGTGAGGGAGTCAAAGGTAAAAACTTATCTTTAATTTATGATTATTTGATGACCCTGAAACCAACTAGCATAGAGGCAGAAAGAGCCTTCTCCGCAGCGGGATATATATGCAGTTCATTAAGAAGTAGGTTGGGAGACAACACCATCAATACCATTTGTTTCTTGAGATCCAACTTCCAGAAAAGTGAAAAAAATAAAAAATAAAATAAAATAACAGAAGTGATTGATTTAATTTTATTTAATCCTTTAAAATACTTTATTCAAGACAAAACTAATATTTTATAACTTCTATTCTAATTCTATTAAGTAAGAGTTTTAAACTTTTATTGTATAAGTGGTTAGTGGGCTAGGCTAGGCAATTTTATTGTTAAAATTAGTGAGAAACTGAGATTACCTAGTTAGTTAAATAGTTAATTAAATTAATGAGTATCAGTATCTTAGATATATGATGATATGAATGTATATGATTCATGATTGTGATAATAATAACTAACTACTAGACTACTACTAATTACTTACTCACTACTTTACTAACACTAATAATTAAATTACTTATAAATAACTACAGACTGATATGTAGAGCCTATATAAGAAAACTGGTAAGACTGATAGCCACTTAGCCACTGATTATCCGTCCTTACATTATTATAATATAATATATTAATATAAATTAATTAGTAGAATTACCTCTACTATTATTTAACTTAAAGATTACATTATAATTATAATCTAATCAAACATTTAAAGTTAATTATCTCTATCTCAAGTGTTAAACCGAACCAAAATTAAGTTTACTACCTAAATGTGTAAGAAGTTTTCTGATTTACTGTATAGTGACCAGTCTAAATAATAAAAGTTTCTTAAATATTTAAAAAAATGTTTTATTTCTTTAAAAAAACCATAAATTACTGGATAGATAGATAGATAACACTTTATTGCACCAAAAATACATCTGCGCTGGATCCGCGCTGGAATGATATTGATCCAGCAAAAATCCAGCTAGATTGAAAACACTGCTGGATTGCAATCCCTATACACAACACAAATTTATCATATTTGACTTTTTAATTAACTCCATGCATTACTCAGATTATTTATTACAGAATGTGAAACAATTTGTTTTTAAAATGAAAAATAGAGTAATTGTCCAGACAATTCTTAATCTTAGAAAAATTTTTAAAAATTAAACATATATTTTGAAGTTTATAAATTTATCTAAATTCAATAAATAAAATATCAAAGTTAACATTAAATAACCTATAATAGTAAAAAAATAATATGCATTTGATATATCATACAATATAAATTATTTTGTAAAAGATGATGTAGCTTATTAAGTTGGAACTAGCATCATCATCATGCTAGAATAGCCATAAACATTATTCAAGGAATATGAGATTGGTTGATATTTTTTAAATTAAATATAAGTGGAAAGTTAAATATAACGAATATTTAATCAGTGACCCAATTAGACACGTCTAGATTTTTGCAAAATACTTGTAACTATTCCTATAAGTGTCTTTAATTGCCAATTTCACAAGAAGTAATTATTAACAACCAGTTCACATTATTGCTGACCACAAATTTACATGGCCAGATGGCTGAGGTGCTCTGGGAGATCTGGATCAAATATGGAGGTCAAAATAATCCCAGAAATTTTTCATGGATGGTCTGTCCTGAATATGTTGGGCACCCATCAATCATCACTCAACTTGGCCCAATATATTGGGTATTATTAAAAAGGCTTTCTTAGTGACCACAGTATGGAGGAAGATTCCAAATTTATTTATGGAATCAAATATAGAATAGCAATAGTTAGCATGAATGCAAGTTGAGATGAACTAACCAAGAAGAAACAACTCTATATTAGACTGAATCCAATCTCACAGATGCAAGAGAAACTGTACATTGTATGATCATCCTGGCAATAATAGAAAAACTTTAATTATAAATAATACTTACTACAAAATTAAATCCTTTCTTAGAAGCTATAGCTTTTAAAATTTTTGATGATACAGTACTTGATATCATGTACACATCAGATGCTGAAAATAAAATATACTCTCTTAAAATTGTTTTATTGTTATTATTTTATTGTATTTATGCTTAACACACCTGGTATGTTAGTTTTCTTTTCTTCAAAGGCATACCATAACCATGCACCCAATAAAGCACCAATCTCATTTCCAGTAAAGACTTTCCATTCACCACTTTAAAAGTTAATTTAGTTTGCAGTCTATATGCAATTTAAATTGTTAGTTCTTAAAACAGTGAAAATGCTTACTTGTTTTTCTCTGCAATGGCTAGTCTATCTGCATCAGGATCATTTGCTAAAATAACAGTACTGTTACTGGAATTAGCTGTTTGTATTGATAAATCCTACAGAGAGAGAGCAAAGAAAAAAATTAAAATTTTTTTATTTAAAATATTTATAATAAACTGCTAAAACAAACTCACCAAGGCACTTTTACCTTCTTCAGGATTAGGAAATTTAACAGTTGGAAAGTCTGGATCTGGATCCATTTGTTCTTTAACAGGAACATAATGTTTAAAACCACATTCTTCAAATGCTCTGGTCATAAATTTATGAGATACTCCATGCATTGCAGTGTATGTAAATGTAAGAGGGCAGCTTGAATTTATATTGCTAAGAGAATAAAAATTTTGTAATGTTGAATATATAAATAATAAAATAGTAGTAACAAAAGACAGTTTGCAAATGAAAGATTTATCTTCATTAATATTCTGTTATTTTTTGCATTAAAAATTCTTATAGTATAGCAAAATAATAAGAATTTAACATATATTGCTTTACTCACATATCAACAATCTTCTCTTTCAAAGATGTGTAGTACTTTTCTTCAATTTCATGTAATGGATCCTTACATAAAGTACTTTTTTCAACCAATGAAATATCCCATGCAGATGGCCAAGGACATAGATTTTCTTCAATACTTGTTTGTATACCTTTGTCATGAGGAGATATAATCTACAATCAAATAAATTTAAACAAACATTATATTTTAATTCTTAATAATTTACATATCTTTTATTTATAAGACTCTTATAGAAGTATGTTAAAGCTAGAATATANCATAAATTACTGGATAGATAGATAGATAACACTTTATTGCACCAAAAATACATCTGCGCTGGATCCGCGCTGGATCCAGCTGGAATGATATTGATCCAGCAAAAATCCAGCTGGATTGAAAACACTGCTGGATTGCAATCCCTAGTCGTGAGCTTCCAATGGCATATACAACATTCAATTTAGCGACAAAGTAATGTATAGCTATAATAAGCGAATGCTTTCGTGTAAAGAAAATAAGCTGAAAATTTTATAACTTGAAAAAGATCGAAATATCCCTCTGAGGTGATCAACGGAAATTTATCTAAAATCCGAAGTGTACTAGGAAGAGTAACTGCCGTCGGCGTGATCCATTAATAGTACTTAAAGACGTTATCTCCTGATATCAGTTCTATTAACCCTTCTATATCTATTTAATTATGCAAATTAGCTTCAAACAAATATTTTTCTTTATTATTGAGAAAAAAGAATTTATTTGAATTGATAGAAAAAAACTTTTTACATTTTTGGCTTCTAAATGACACCTTTCCCTATGGATGGCCAATTTTATCATAGTAACCCTGTGATAGCGGCTTTTCTATAGAAATATTCAGCTAACCAGAAAACTGCCATTCGTAGGTTAGCGTTAAAAAATAATTAAAAAAAATTAAACAGACGAAACAAAATGAAAATAAATTTACTGATATAAAAATAGATTTTATTAATTACATGTAATAGTAAGTAGAAATAAAATATAATTTTATAAATTTGCACTTATAATTAGGTAGGCCTAATGTAAAAATTTGAATATATATGAAACTAAAACTAGAACAATTCGAACAAACTGTAATCAATACTGCAGCGATCTAAGCTCTGATTTGCTTTCTTGTATGTGTCTCAACCAATAAATGTTTTGTCACCACCTCGAACCATAAATATTTCGAGAAAGACCGTCCCTATCACCCGAAAGCAATTACAGGTAAGGAGGAGGATTATTGGTTCATAAAATCGAAAGACAACTTCCTGTAGACTGTAGTTGGTTGTTTTCTGTCTCTGTTGATATTAGATCAACGAATCAGCGACCTGTAAAAACAGTGGACGCCCCAGTCAGGCACGATTTTTGAAATATGTAAACAATCGCTATAAAATTGCATGTTTTAATCGTTTTTTATTTCTGATTTGTTAAAGAAAAGTTGTTTGACGGTATTTAGAAGAGTAAGTGTGTTTGCAAAACAGTTTAGCAATAAATATTCTCGGGAAACTGCACCTTACTATAGTAAGTCTATGAAAGACTCACATGCTGTCGATTGGCTTTCAAGTTCTTGTTTATACGCCTTTTACGCTCTGATTGGCAACTTTTATTATGACTGAATCGATATCAACCAATGAGCGTTCTTTCAGAACCGTCCGTACAGGATTTTCCCGAGAAGAACCAATGCTTTTCAAAGTCACGACATCCGAGTCAAAACGTAAACAACCGTTGATAGAATATTATTTTCATCATCGTTAGCTGTAAATTTACTAGGTTTTATGTTATTTGACTTTATTTACAGTAGAAGATGTCATATCAAAAGCTTCTAATAGAAAAATTTATCCGTAAACTGATTACTTCCGATTATTGCAATACTTTCGCAAATAATAGGTATTTAATCGTTCTTATACGGTTATTATAGTCTACTGTTATTATAATAGTGCAAATAACATATAAATAGAATCAAACATACATGTATTGACCTAGATTTAGAAAAGTAACACCCAAAGCCGACCGCCGTTATAAACTATAGGCCGTATTCTCTCTACTTCAGTTTAGAAAGGTGCAGTGTTTTTTTATTTGCGAGAATATAGACCTATCTATGTAACATATATAACATGTTACTCGGATGTTTATATAAAAAAAGAATTTTAATTTTTATATTTCTAAAAATCACAAACTGTCCTACGCTGCTCGGATGTCAAATCAGGATTATCGAGATTTGCAGACGACATGATAAAACTATTATAGAATAAATATTTTATTCATATTTGTATAAAAATATACGTATAATAGAATTCATAAATTACTTCAATACACCTGCATACAATTATCAAGTCTCTAATGGGACGTATGTAATAGAATCATTAGCCTCTGCTAATGGAAAATGTTTAGTGTACTGTAAATAGAAAGGCTTTCAATGTCGGGGTTCTCATGTGTTAGGATTTATAACTGCGATAATAGATGTTTAGTTGTTTGTTCCTGAAATTCCTGACCGGCTTTCTTTCAAATGTTTTTAGAATTTATCACTTGTTCTCCTTCTTTCGAGAGGATAAGGTGTGTTCTTGTACAGTACTGTAGTCTTGTGAAGTGATTTAGTAGAATATCGCTACTTTTTGCGACAGTTTTCTATTTTCTATTAGTTTCCAAGCAAGTTTTATAATTATATTATTTTCGGAGATTATTATGTATACTTTTATTTCGTGTAAGATAAAAAAAATAACTGGTTTTAGAGAATTTTTCTATTGGCAGAATGTCTGGTTTAAAATTTGAATAAGCTAATATATCTACAAGTTGATCGGATGATAGTTTGAGTAGATTTAGCGACCCGGATTCAAGCGTGGATTTTGATGGAGGCATTGCTGCTGCTGTGAGAAGATGAGTCGATATAGATATCAATAATTTTTCTCCTCCTTCCTCGGGTTGTCGGTTTACGCTGACTGATATTGATCCACTGGCATTTTTCAAATTATTCTTTGATATACATCTTATAAATTTAATTGACAGTTAAACCAACCGTCACCTAATGCAACAGCCTCGATCATTCCGAAAACAGTGGGAGCCAGTTACAGTCACCGATATTTATATATTTCTGGCCACCTGTATATTACAGGGAATTATAAATAAACCGGATAAGAAGATGTATTGGTCAACCAATGATCTCTATATGTGACACCAATTTCTGTTAAACTAATGTTAAAGAATAGATTTTCGGAAATAAAACAAAAGTTACACTTCGCCAATAATGCAACATTTGATCTGTCTACTCATTCCTTTCCTATACTAAACAAAATTTTGCCATTACTAAATGATTTAAATTCTAAATTTTCGCATGTATACGAACCAGACACAGACATAACGGTGGACGAGTCTCTTTTACAGTACTTTTCAAAGGTCGCATTTCGTGAAGACTATACAATCCCATCAAACGGTCTCGTTTCGGTGTGAAATTCTTTATATTATGTGATCCTCATCCAAATATCTGTACAAAACTTTTAATTTATACCGGAAAAGATAATCATCTCGATTAAAAATATCGACAAATACCACTAACATCCCAAATCGTGTTATCTTTACTGAACCGTTAGGCAAAGGCTACTGTGTAACAAAGAATAATTATTACATTTCACTTCAATTGGCCGATTATCTAATATCGTGCCAAATGATATATATGGAACACTACGTCTAAACAGAAAGGAGATTCCAGATATCATCAAAAATATAAAAAAAAATTAAAAAAGGAGAAATAATGGCACAGCAGGAGGGTCAAATAATGATTATGAAATGGCAATTTAAGAGTGCTGTTACTTTGCTTTCTACAGTGCACAATGCTATACAGGTAAGTAAGCAAACGTGTGTGAGTAGTGTACAAATGAAGGCACAGGTTCTCGTTGACTGCAACGACACAATGGAAAATGAAATTAATTAAAATATCTATAACCGTGAGGCAGATAATAGTAAGGGCTTATCACACCAATGATAATGGGCACAGACACTCAGGAATCAAAGTAAAAAACATTTAATAAAACAAAAAGGAGTGTGCAATAAGATGATTACATAAGTATGAAAACCGAAAAACCCAAAATGCATTTCGGACTACAGATATTTTCTAATGGAAAATAGTCCCTCATCAGTTGGTATTAAATAAAGGTTTTAGTATACTTAAAAATTATACAAGGTGAAAAAATAAACTTAAAACTATGCCTAAAGCTATACAACATAAAGATGAAAACGTCGCGATGAGTGTATGAGCAGTAAGCATTATCAATTAGACATGAGTAATTATTCTTTATAACCCGAAACGACTAATTTGAGGTGTAGAGTACTGCATATATTTTAAATTAAAAAAATTAAAAGTATAAATTAGAAACTGCAGGCAGGCATTATGAACTGGCAATAAATGAACTACTTGTATACTGTACTGTATATGTTAAACTTGACTAGACAAACGAGTTTTTCCAGTCGAGTTTAACATGTACACAAGTAGTTTATTTATTTGGTAAATATTAATATCACAGCAAAAATCTTTTGAAAATTTTAATTAATTTTATTTTTTATTAACTGTGAAAACAATAACAAAAATTAACAATATTTACTATTTTAATTTTTACGAGGAAAAAATGCGTATATGAATTTCTTCTAAATTTTATTCGTAAATTATTTAAAATGTTTAATATATTTAATTAATAAAATTCAGAAATGATAAAAAATCTTGGCAAACCATTATATGTGACGTCGAAGGTTATTATGATGTCAAACCAGTCTTATTCTCCATAACAATTAGAAATCTCTTACGTTTCACAGAAGAAAGTTGGAAACACAGCGGTGAGTAGAGTTCTTTCTGTTCGTAATGTAGATACTGTCATTTTAAAGTCATATAATTCTCATAAAAAACTTTTATGTGAGTTATTCTTAATGTTATTTAGAAAAGTTATTAATACCGAAAGTAAGGTGTTCAATCAATAATCGATTGCCTTAAATGGTTTACTTAATGATCAATTTTAATTAAAATGCCTCATTGTCCTTTTCTTACTAAATTATAAATTTTCGTCTATAAACAAGCATTCACTATTATCAGGACTTATTATTATTGTCTGTTAAGCCAGTATAATAAGTCCTGATAATAGTGAATGCTTGTTTATAGACAAAAATTTATTATTTACTTAATGATAATATTTAATTAATATTTTATGAAAACAATTAATGAAAATTAACGATTTTGTTAAGTTTGTTTCCTTTTTTTCATTCTGTAATGAAAATTTAAGGATAAATTTCTTTAAAGAAAATCTGTAAAAGGGAAAAAACGTTCAGACGTGTATACTACTACAGCAATATACAGGCTTAAAATTAATGCATTTCTTTAGATTTTGATGTAAATTTTTTTATTGTTTTATACTGCTTGTTTAATAAAATAATATTTTCAATATAAAATTTTATCATCAACATCTGATCAAACAGTTGCGTGTAAAGTTTCTATTATAGTCAACCTTGGAAACTAGTTTTAGATGTCACTATCTTGAAAAATATCAATAGGTTTTTTTATTCTATAAATACAGTAGAACCTCGAAAACTCGGCTCTCGATAACCCGGCATTCCGGATAACTCGGCCACACCCTGGCAGGGCAAAAAAATCCTTAGTTAATTAATTTTCATTATAGACAGCTTTATAAAAGTATAAAAGCTCTCATAAAGTATTTTTCTGAGGTCTGTCTTATCAGGTAAATTACTGTACACAGTGTATTCATTAATTTTCATTTTCATGTAGTAAAGGCTCTATGCNAAAAAAAATAGAGAACAAAGATTCCGTAGTGTGTTTAATCTGTTTAATATATGCTCAGAATTACTTTGTTATATCGTGTCGTCGGTTATACCGTGCTTTTCTTTATATTTGAACACGTGCTATATAACTAGATGCTCTTGTATTTAATGTCAAAATATAAAATTGATAATTTATTTATGAGTTAAATTATACAGTAGTTGTTAATAAATTACTTTTTACGTTTGCAGTATCCAAATGCAAGAAGTTGTGGAAGAATCTCTGCGATCAGTTCAGAGCTATCCACAACAGCTTGCCGAGAAGCGGAAGTGGCTTAGAAGCCACAAAGCCAAAATGGATATTCTATCCACAATTACAGTTTTTAGCTGATGTGGTAGAAGCTAGAGTGTAAGAATCTTTAATATTTTAAAATAATGATAGAAAACTACTAAAAAAATGAAATTTATTTAAGGTACAAGTAGAAAATTTTATATAATAGTATTATTATACTTATCTTCCAGAACACATTCAAATGTTGTAGAAAATGAAACAAATGAAAATAATGAAAATATACAACTAACTGCATCAGAAGTATGTATTACTTTTGTATTTTTGTAATCTTTAAAATTAGTTTTTATTGTTCTATTTTTAAATCTCAAATACTTCAGATTTTAGAAAATATGACTTGTTCTGAATCGGCTTTATGTGATGTGAATATTGNTAAGAAATCTCACATTCAACGAAGTAAGCAGGAAATTAGATTAAAAAAAATTCAAAAATACTTCTAAATAAAATAAAAGTTCAATATAGTGACATTTATTGGCCTGTAAAATTAGCACTAAATCGAGTATAAAGATCTTCAAAAATACGAATTATACGCACCAACACAGCTTCCTGAGCTGTGTTGGTGCGTATCGATGACTGTTGGTTCAGCCAGTTCAAGTAAAATTCCTTTTGTTCCCAGTGTCTAAGAGAAGAAAAGAATGATGTTCTTGAATGCTTACAATTGTTAGACATCACCAAAAATAATTGTGAACACGCCATTTTTAACACAACTGTTTAATGTATAGTTTTTTATTTACGTAATGTTAGGGTGCGACTATGCGACGCGAATTTAGTAGCGAGCGAGAGGTTGCGAGCGATATAGTTCTCGCAAAGGAAAACCATGCACAAGCGAGAAGCGAGAAATCTCGCTGGCGAGAGCGAATTTCTGGTTCTCGCACATATCTGACAGGGTTTGATATTTCTCGCGTCTCGCCAGTTCTCGCTGAACAGTGCGCATGCGCCTTCGAAAAGGAGTACAAAATGGCTTCTTCCAGTGACCAACACAGCGTAGCAGCTATAAAAGAAAAACTAATAAATAATGTATATTTACACCCGGAAATATGGGATAAACGTCTTCCCGATCACAGGAATCGCAATATCATACACACAAAATGGAATGAAATAGCTGAAGCGACTCAATTAGACGGTAAGTTTCTGTTTAGTAATAAGCTTTTTTTTACCAGAAACACTCGCACATAAAAAAAAATAGAGAACAACGATCCCGTAGTGTGTTTAATCTGTTTAATATATGCTCAGAATTACTTTGTTATATCGTGTCGTCGGTTAAACCGTGCTTTTCTTTATATTTGAACACGTGCTATATAACTAGATGCTCTTGTATTTAATGTCAAAATATAAAATTGATAATTTATTTATGAGTTAAATTATACAGTAGTTGTTAATAAATTACTTTTTACGTTTGCAGTATCCAAATGCAAGAAGTTGTGGAAGAATCTCTGCGATCAGTTCAGAGCTATCCACAACAGCTTGCCGAGAAGCGGAAGTGGCTTAGAAGCCACAAAGCCAAAATGGATATTCTATCCACAATTACAGTTTTTAGCTGATGTGGTAGAAGCTAGAGTGTAAGAATCTTTAATATTTTAAAATAATGATAGAAAACTACTAAAAAAATGAAATTTATTTAAGGTACAAGTAGAAAATTTTATATAATAGTATTATTATACTTATCTTCCAGAACACATTCAAATGTTGTAGAAAATGAAACAAATGAAAATATACAACTAACTGCATCAGAAGTATGTATTACTTTTGTATTTTTGTAATCTTTAAAATTAGTTTTTATTGTTCTATTTTTAAATCTCAAATACTTCAGATTTTAGAAAATATGACTTGTTCTGAATCGGCTTTATGTGATGTGAATATTGAAGAAATATCACCATCACATCCACATCCACATCCAAAGAAGAGGAGAACAGCTTTTTCTGAACAATTACTAAAAGAAATTAGTAATGTAAATAGGTGAGAATATATTTTTTATATGTAATAATTGTCAAAATCTATTTTTTTGTAAGTTACAATTCAGAACATTAAAAATTTATTTCTTTGCAGGGAATTGAATGACTGTAAAACAAGTCCCTTCGCGTTATATCTTGATAGTTTGTTGGTACAAGTGCCATCAAAAAAAAGAAGAGACTGTGAAAGAACATTGATAGATGTTGTTAACAGTTTTATCGATGCAGAATAAAGTGATATTTATTAATTAGTTAAACAAAATTGTTTATTTATTTTTCAATATATATTATTCCATTGCCAAGATACATTCCCTTCTGAAACAAAGTATGTGGCAAATTTGTCTCTGATGTCTCCAGCCAATTTTGAAAAATTGCGTGATACATTTTGTTTGAATGGCTTCCATTGCTCACACAATTCATCTGTGCGCCATGAACCTTCGCAAAATACACCATTAGGATCTAAATAATCTCTGTATCCTTCTGGGCAATATGCTGCTTCATCTAGAAGACATTAATACTATAAATATAAAATATATAACAAAAATAATTATTGTAACAAATAATACCTGATGAATTATTCTCAGTGATCATATAATTGTGTAACACAACAGCTGCCTTTATTATTTTATCTGTATTATTTGGTGCTAAAGCAATGGGTCTTCGAAAAATTCTCCATCGATTGGCAAGTATACCAAAGGCACATTCAATACAACGCCTACAAATACATTAATTAATAGTTATAATTCTAGATACAAATAATGTAAAGAAAATATAAATATACCTTGCTCGACTTAAGCGATAATTAAACACACTCTGCAAAGGGGAAAGTTGTCTACCAGGATATGGTCTCATAAAATCTGGGCGGAGTTGAAATGCTTCATCTCCTATCAACACATGTGGTGCTACAGTATTTGAATTGGGCAGAATACTTGAACTTGGTATCCCCAATGTTCCATTTTTCAAATTTTTGCCTAGTGCTGATGCTTTCAGAACTCCTCCATCAGAAAATGAGCCATATGCACCAACATCAACAGCTAAGAATTTGCAATGTGCATCAGCAATACCTAACAATACAATGGAGTTAGTTCCCTGGAAGAAATTTAATCAAATTAAAATTCTTGAATTTTATATATCTATTTCAAATTTCTTGACATAGTTAAGCATTACTAATTTTATCATGCTTTTAAAATAGTATATAGGTTAATAGAACACAATTCCTTGATTGAAATTATTAAGATTATCCATCAGAAACTGTTTTTCTAAAATCATAAATAAGTGATATAAAATGCATTATGTTTACTCTATAATAAAAATATATTCATTATGAGAAACTGATGTTTTAAAATAAGATGAAATGATTAGAAAAGCAATGCAATCATTTATATGAAGAAGTTATTCATTCATTTTGAAAATCACCTTATAATTGTAAAATTGAGAGCCACTATTTGCAGGCTGCTGAATGTTGACATGCTTGCCATCAACTGCTCCACAGCAATTTGGGAATTGCCATAATCTTTCAAATTCTATGGCAGACTTCCTCCATATCTGTTCAGTAGGTTCCTGCAAGGAATGCACAGTACAACAGATATATTTCAGAATAAACTAATGTAATATATATATATATTAGAATAAAATGCAGTACAAAAGTATAGAATCATCACAATACTTAATTACAATTATGTATGAAATTTTACATAGCATTATAGTGTATATTTTCTATTTTATATACCAGACATACATGAATACTCACCGGAATGTATTTTTCTTTAAGTGTGTCCCAAATAACTTGGCAAGTCTCTGGTATTATTTTTTGGATTGTGGAGAATCCTACATAAAATGCATAGGCTAAAGACTTGTAAGAGTCTCCAGTTGCCAAAAATCTAAAAAAGCATTTAATTAGTTGATAAACTATCAAATTCTAAATTTTTATCTGAACTATTATATTCGAATTTTACCTTAATGTAATAGCTAAACGTTCACCAGGAGAAATAGGCTCATTATTGCTGTATTTTTGTAATTGATCAGCTATCAGCGTTAATAATTTATCAAATAGTGACGGAGCCATTCTTAAATAATTTCTAAAAAATGAGGAATGATTATTCCTCATATCTTTCATCTATATATAAAAAAAATTTTGTTTTAATATTTTTCAACTATAGACAAACATGATGTTATACAAATTCTGTTTTCTTACCAAATTATGATAATGTCCTTTAGCCTTTCGCTGTTTCCAGAGGGGATGGACACCGTATCTTCTTTTTATTTTTACTTCTTCATGAAGTAATCCTAGTAATAGCAACTTTTTCTTCGCTAGTAATATGCGTCGATGTCGAACCATTTTCTTTTATTCGTCAGGGAACACAAGAACACGTGACTCGTCAACTTCACGCCACTTTCTCTCGTTCGTTCGCGTCTGTGTGATCGTATAAACGAGAGCGAGAAACATAAAGAGCGAGAAACGTCATCACCTCTTCTCGCCACATATTCTCGCTCGCTCGGAGAATTCGCTCGCTCGCGTCTGCATAGTCGCACCCTTACACTTTAATTTTATATTTTGTATAAATTTATCTTTTGTATTTGTATAATTTTATGAACATAAACTGAAGAGGGATGTATTGGTTCGAAATACATTTTAAATGCTCTATATAATATATATTATCAAAAGAGCCATATCTTACTGTAGAGAATTATTAAAGATTTTGTAAATTAATTCTCGTTCACCAGTATGATAAGCTCTCAAGTATATTTGTTTAATTGATTTAGACTTTATCTTCTTTCTTTATCGTCTGGCATTATGGGCCTTGGAGGCTCTTATCCGTAGTCACAATCCTTCTCTTATCCTCTCGTTCGGTCTATAGCCTGCCTTTGCCAATCTTCGACCCCGACGTATCGAAGATCTTCAGTGACTCCTTTTTCTAGGACGGCCTTTTGGCCTCTTCCCTTTCCTCTCATAGTAGATCCCTCGTGAAGCTGTACCATTATAGGAAGTCTTACGACATGACTTAGTCACTGTAATCTTTTGGCCTTAATCACCTGTGTGATCATGTTCTTGCCGTAGGTTGTCTGCAGTTTCTAGTTTGTTCTTTACCTTCATATTCTTCTGATACCATTATCATCGTTGTCTTCCACAAGTTGGAAGATTTTCCTTAGTATTTTTTTCAAATTTCTGTACTTTTAGTTTTTCCTGATTTATCCATACAGAATCGCAGGTCTATAAGCGACTCATATACAGTTAGCTTCATTCTTTTGCTAAAGAGTCTACTTTTTTAGTATATTTGTGAACTCGAAGTAGATTTTGTTTTCTTTTAGCTAACGAGTCCCTATCTCCTTGATGTCATTGTTTCTGTTTATGTCAGTTCCTAAGAAGGGGAACACGGGGCTGAACGGAGTAGCTAATAAAAAAGTTAAAATTATGTCAACAATAAATGAAAAATAACAAAAATATTACGTTATATCCTTTATTTATTATGTTTGGCACATAATTATTTAAATTAGATTTTAAAAAATCAATAATTTTGTATGAAAAATAAATCATTAAAAAATCCTTGGCCACATCCCGTTTCACCCCGCACTCGGGGCAGATTGGGGTATGAGATTAGTGCTCAAATATTAAAAAAAAAAATATGAGCCCATTTTTTTGCATGCGACACATGAACACCAACACTCAGTCGACTGTGAGTAAGCCTCGGTGCAGTAAAAACAAGTCGTAACATTTTCTCCTTCCGAGTAATCGTTTCCTTTTTCTTCTTTTTTACTAGGCTTTATTTTTTTCCTTTTACTTTTCTCTTACATGAAACCGTCTCATTGTGCTCCACCGGTTGTGCCTCAAAGCACATACTCTAAAAGTCAAGTAAGAAAAACGTTTATGATTACTTTTTGCGTTATTTCATTCTAAAATTACAAACAAACAAATCTTTAATAAACTAGACTATATAAATTTGTTTAAATTATAAAATATACCCTATACTTACATTGTTTTAATGTCAATACACTTGTAATTTCATCAAAAAATCACGACACAAGGTTTATTGATCAACGACAAAGCGAATCTCGGTAACTAAGTATTCACTCTGCCGTGTTGTCACAGTCTGAGTGTAGCGCAGGGAGAAAAACAATTCACTCACTTCTTGTGAGTAAATTGGTTTTCTCCCTGTATGTAAATCGTGTTTCCCATTCCGGAAGCCCCTGGTTCCCCTACTCGAAGGATTCCGTAATACTAAATGTCATATTGTCGGTGAAATGTTTTTTGTGGGATTCTTCCTTATTAGAAATAACTATCCATTCAGTCTTCTCTTCATTGATGATCAGACCCACGATCTTGCCAGCTGTTGCTAATTTTGACGTTAATCTCGTCACCTTTCCTTGAGATGCTCCAATTATGAAAAACTCATCCGCATACGCTAGTAGTGGCAGTTGGTCACTTAAGTCATTTTCCTTTTTATTGTTTATCTCTTGGGCCATTCTGACATTTTCTACAGCGATGTTATTAAGAGAACGGGAGACAGAGAGTTTCTTTGTTTCAGTCCTGTTTTGCTCTCTGTTTTGATATAGACTATGAAAAATAAAACAACATTAAAGGCTAAAAACGATAGATTATTCAATTGAACGATAGATTATTCAATTAAGTCCTTAATAAAGCCGATTATAATTATTTATGCAAAGCTAATGATTAGAATTTTGACAAACAAGTAATTGTGACATTGAAGTAATTAAATTTCCCTAGATAATTAATAAGAAAATTGCAATAAAAATGCCAGTTCTTTTCTAATCTGAGTAAACTTGTAAGAATGAAGATAAAGTATAATTTCGTTTTCGTAAAACGTTTTAAATATTAATTATAAACGTTCAAACATTTTCAATTGAAATTATATAATGTTTACAGAATTTTATAAGCGCAATGGAGATTAAAGATTCAACATTTCCAAAAGAAAAAGAAGAGGAATTTCCTTGGGATGATAAAGCACTTCAAGCATTTAAAAAGGTTATAAGTAAGTAGAAATATTAATTAAAATTAGAACAAAATTAAGGTTTTTTCTATTTTACTATGTTGAGTATAAATATAATGTTGAGTAAAATTAAAATTGATGTATAATTTTAGATTCGATTAAGCGAATTTTTGTAATACAGTATTTACTTTACGTGATGTTATATATAACAAACAGTAAGCATGGAAATTGGCCAAAAAATGACTCCCGTCTTCAAGACTTTTTATATTTTTAGACTCGGAGGATCTTGAAACGTCAGAAAACAGTTGAAGGTTTTTTCTGTATCTGCTAGTGTTAGTGTGTTTTGTGTGCTCCCAAACACACTAACACATGTTAAATGTTTATAACTCTTGTGTCTACTGTCGAAAACTTTTGAAAATTTGCAAGGAGGTTTGTGTATTAGGGATTGATGATATATTTTTGGAGTTAAAAGTCAAAGAATACGAGTTAAAGCAAACTCGTGTCTCATATTTCGAGTAAGGTAAGAATTATTGACGTTTTTCACTTGTTATTAGAATTTGTGTTATCTTATAAAACTCATCTCTACCGTCAAAATAAAGCTTTTTGCTATTTCATAATATACAAACATCTGTAAACCCGATATATAAAATAACCGTCGATGGTTGTAACGTTAGCTTCTATACGCTGGAACAGGAGATCGGACTGGCAACCCATCTGCACGGTAAGCAGGAGTTGTGGATTCGAGTCCCGCTCCAAGCCGATTCTTTTTCCCAGCGGTTCTAAATTATTTAAATTAATTAATTCATTTATAATTATTAATGTTAATAAGAGATGGCGCCTAACGCTTACCTCTAGTGCCAAATCGGTTACGTAATTCATTTAGTAATCAGCCTTAAACTAGTCCGATAGAATTTCGGCAATTGGTTGGTGTTTAGCTATTTTATAATAATTAATACTAAAAAATTTATAAATAAAATAGCATAACAGATGGCGCTACACACAAATTTGAAGTCTCGCCGGAAAAGTTACGCAGTTCGTTGCTGGATTTGTATTTCGTTTTGTAATTCAATACAACTTTAAATTTCGACTCTTTTTGGCTCATCCTTTTCATTGTCTGTGCTAAATATAGGCCTATATAACAATGTTGCAAGTAAAGTGTTGATACATCTTTTTACAATAACGTAAGAAAAGAAGTTCAGTTTTTGCAACATTGTTTAGTCTGCACAACGGAAGGAGTTTTCCAAGGAATGTTCTAAATTACATTCATCAGAGCTCTCCGCTCTTAGCGTAAAGTGTAGTTTAAGTCAATTTTAAATATTTATATTGAAATTAGTTTAAAATTAAATGCTTTAAATATAGTTAAAATGCAAATCAGAAATACAATGTTAATATTGGGCACACTGTAAAATAACGATGCTTCTCTGAAGGAAAGTCTGTGTAAAACTGGATCTAAAGTGTAGAAATGTGATGAAGCTTTATATGGCTAAATATAGGCCTTCGGTATTTATATGGCTAAATATAGCTTTATATAGCTCTTTGGTATTTATATGGCTAAATATAGCTTTATAAAGCCCTTTGGTATTATATCGCTAAATATAGCTGTATGTAGCCCTTTGCTAAAACACGAAGAACTAGAATATACTACATAGAGTGGCTGTTACCTTCGATACAGCGCTCTTGGTAGCAACGATGGGTACTATCGACCGCCAGTTTACTTTAAATCAAAACATCGAAGTCTGTATTACGTGCTGGGTAGGATTGTCACTTTAAAATCTATTTTTTTCATCTAAATTTAGTTTGTTTTGTTTGCCCCTTGATTTTAGATTTAAGCAATTAGATACGTAGTATAAATGCAGACTGTTTCATCTCGAATTTAGCTATTTTTTATCCTTCAGTACTTAATCCTCGATATAACAATATTTTAATAATCTACGTAGGGGCCAGGTGTTGAAATGCTTTACTCTCGGCTATATAATTGTTTATTTAGCCTATATAGTATATTGAGGTCAGACTGATCCGTACCATACTCACTACATTGATTATTTTGGACGGTGTTTTTTTCTTTTAAAAAATATAAGTGTTCTTGTGTTTTTATAACAGATATAGTTTGTTTTTGAAGAAAATTTAGTTTTCGACTTGTGAAAATATTTACTATGAACAACCACATTTTAACCTTTGCTATGTTATGAACCACATTGTTGAACCTAAGATCCTTGTAAAAGGAAATAAGGAAATATTACTTGTGGGAAATGGATATCACTAGTCTCACTATTGGAAGAAAAAACCTTTATTTCTAATTATTTATATAATTAATTATTATCGAATAGAAAAAGCTTAATATATGTAGTTTGGGC